ACACTCACCATGCACAGGTGACAGATGCACACTCACCATGCACAGGTAACATGCACACTCACCATGCACAGGTGACATGCACACTCACCATGCACACTTTTTGAAAGTGCTGCAGTGTCAAAGGAAGAAAAGCCAGAGAGCTATAGCAAAGATACAGTGCCACCAAATTTAATATACCATTTAAGTAAATTAGGAACAAATTTGTTTATTGTATTTGAACTTTATAGAGCTGTGTTTCTTGGTCTGTCTATTGTGAAGAACAAAGTTTTCTTTATTATTCTAATGTAGAGTAATTTTCAGACTAGAACATTTATAAAATAGAATATGCCAGTGTCAATTTTTTAATCAGTTTCTAACTATGTAATTTTGGTTTTTGTACTCACCTCTTGACAAAGAGTTTGTAGAATGGCATCAGTTCATAAATCACTGTTTGGGAATTGCCTTTGTACAAAATAAGCAGAAAATTTTGTGAACTTGAATGTACTGAATTGAGTGTTGACATGACTTCCTTGTCTTTCTTGGATTAGAACTTCTTAGACAACTTTCCTAGCAGTGACATCCTGTCCTTCATTGCAAGGATATTCCTGCTGTTCCAGATGATGACTGTGTACCCACTCTTAGGCTACTTGGCTCGTGTCCAGCTCTTGGGCCATATCTTCGGTGACATTTATCCTAGGTAAGGGTTCTTCTCTAGACCAGCAAGATGGGCCAAGCAACAAATGACTGTGCAAACAGGTCAGTTTAAAGTGTGACTGATCCTTTTGCTATATAAAAAAAAATTGCCTAATGAAAATGGTTACTAAGGATAGGTCACAGAGTCTGTTTCCCAGAAGAGCTTTAAATAGAGAAGCCACTCCCTTGCCTGGGACAATTTGATGTCCATTCCTTCCAGGAGAGTCAATTAACTCTGATGTCTGTTATATTTATGTGAAGATTTAACTGCTACTAAGAGCACATTGCTAGGAAGTTCATAGCACTTATGTTATAGAACCTATGTAGGTGTGCGCTAATAAGAACCAATACTTTTAATTGTTGGATATTAATACATGTATGTTTATTAATAGCTGTACATTTTCATAGTATTTAGCGTTGAAGGTGAGACATAGAATGAATATAATTTCTTACATAATTAAGACAAGTTTAACTTCCTATGGGAATTTTAGCATCTTAATGAGCATGGCGGAATTGTGCATCCTCTTGAAGAAGATCTGTTAAGGTAGTTACCCTTATCCAATAGAAATGTCCACAGGGCATTGTGTTTCCAGACTTTCCTGTGACAAGCACACACTGTCATTTGTCCTACAATTGCATGCTCCACAGACAGTGCATGCTTTTTTGGACTCAAGACTTCTTTATACTCAGACATTTTATTGAAGATTACCAGGAGTTTTCATTTGCAAAAACACATCTATCAGTATTTAATGTAAAAAATTAAAACTGGGAATTTTAAGGTATCTGTTGATTCCTTTAAAAATCAATAAGTCCAAACATAGATAAAAAATCAGTAAGTGCAAACATAGATAAAAAATCAGTAAGTGCACAAATTAGTAAGTCCAAACACAGAGGCACACACCTGTAATCCCACCCACAGGAGACTTTCGAGTGTGAGGCCGACTTGGAAAATAAATACAGCCCTCTTGAGACCCTGACACTCAAAAACTATAGTAAAACTGTTACCTGTTACCATAAATAATATATTTATGAAAAATAACTAATTCCATAACCAAATGGTTTTATAGCTATAAACTCTTTAATGTCTGCCTTTCTTGTTGACAGCTGAACTCTAGTGTTTCTGCATTATCTGTTACACTGTTATTTTATTTAAATATGTGAAGAAAATTCAGCCTTATGTAGATGTGTAATTGGAAAAGAAGTTCCTTTTATAGCCTTGTCAGATAACTGTAAATGTGCATCTTTGGTACCACGAAGAAATGTGACACAAGGTAGCTCCTTGCTCCCGGTGTATAATCAGAAACTCAGTTGCCTTAAAACCTATGGGGCTCCCTGGCTCTCTCCTTCTCTGTTCCTGAATGATTTTGTGGCATCATGTTTGGTTAACATTGACTCGCAGAGTTCTGCAGGTCTCGCAGTCGTTCACACATTTCCTTACACGTCACTAACTCACACCCACTAATATCACCATCAACTTCATCTAAAAATGTCCTTACATTTTGGAAAATTATCAAACTCAAAGTAGCAAATGCCAGGTTCTCTGAAATCCTAGTTTTTATCGAAAACTCAATTGTTATTGTCAGGAACAAATACTATCTGTTGTTCTTTTTGTTTTTGTTTGTTTGTTTGTTTGTTTTTCGAGACAGGGTTTCTCTGTATAGCCCTGGCTGTCCTGGAACTCACTCTGTAGACCAGGCTGGCCTCGAACTTAGAAATCTGCCTGCCTCTGCCTCCCAAGTGCTGGGATTAAAGGCGTGTGCCACCACTGCCCAGAGTCTGTTGTTTTTTTCTTAAATGCAAAGCTCATCAACATTCATTTAAAGGAAATGTCAATCCATCACCAAGTGTGGACGCCTGCTGTTTGGGCTGCATTTCAAGGATAGGTAGCATTTGTGAAGACGGTCAGATTGGGCCAGCTACACTGCACAGCTGCTTTTCCTCAAGACATCCATGTCATTGGGTGTGCAGGTGTGCCCGATTGCTTCCCATGTGAACACACAGAATATTAAAATGATGTTTACTCCAAGCATGAGATTCAATAAACTAAGCTTTGCTCCTTGCACCCCATGGGTACTGGAAATCAAACCCAGGCCTTGAGCATATTGGGTAAATGTGGTCCACTGAGCTGTATCCTCAGCCCTCTCACAGACATAGTTAATAAATATTTTTTTCTTGTTTTGTTTTCTCTTGAAAGTGTTGGCAGTGAAAACTCCATCTAGAATACAGATTCTTTTTCCCTTATGTGTTGCTTTAAAATCATAAGGTATCTTGCACTGTTATGAGAACACTATTTACCTTAAAGTCTTCCTGAAACAGAATTCATGGTCACACTTGGAGAAACAGCCACTACTTTGGAAAACTAACAAAAGTTTTTCTTTTAGTAAAACCACAAAAGTACAGAAAGTTGAAGACTGAAATTCTGGATGAATAATAAAATCTTGATACCTACTATCTCTGTCATTTATCAAGATATATGCTAACCACCTATAGCATAAATAATTCTCCTTACTTTTTCAGACATTGACAATATTCTCCCCCATATCTTCCTACCCTCCACTTTTTTTCTTTAGGTTTTCTTATTTAGTGAAAATTCAGCTAGCTTCTTTCCAAATTGTTTAGGTAGTTCTTGGTTATCTACATAAATAATATTATTTTTAATAATTTTTCTGTGTTCTGTCAAATAACCTGTTGATTTTCTTGTTCTGCAATTTTTTTATTTTTTATAAGTACCTTAATAGGTTTCTTTATGGTTCTGTGTTCTCAAGTTATTCCAAATAAAATTATATATAGAATGTGTACTAGTTTGTACTTACAGAATTTGCCTTTTTATATAATTAGATAAAAAGGGCAGTTTCACAGTCTCATTACCAGTACTGAGTGGTGTATTTCATAGTTTTGCTGGCAGATTAAAGACAATCATTTTAAAGAGGTTAAGAGTGAATTTTTTTCTCCTAAAAATTGATTATAACTTGCCTGTTTTATATCTTTTCTTTCATATAAACTTTCTTCTGTGCCCTAGCATTTTCCATGTGCTGATTCTTAACTTAATTATTGTGGGAGCTGGAGTGACCATGGCCTGTTTCTACCCAAACATAGGAGGGATCATAAGGTATGCTTCTTCAAATCATGCTCTGGTATTATCGTTGCTGTTGACTTTTTAATTGAATGAATTTTCTGTCAGTGTTTAAGACTGGTAGTGTTCAAGTATACTTTCTGGTGTTTGTTAGGGCGCTCATTAAATTTCATTGTTGCTGATCTCTGGTACAGAAGGGGCTGTGGGAGGGAGTGTTCTGTGTCACCAATAGGGGAAAGTGTTCTGTCTGTGGAAGAGAGTGTTCTCTGGAGCCTGTGAAAGAGAGTGTTCTGTGGAGCCTGTGGTAAAGAATATTCTGTCTGTGGAGCCTGTGGAAGAAAGTGTTCTCTGGAGCCTGTGGAGGAAAGTATTCTGTGGAGTCTGTGGGGAAAGTGTTCTGTGGTGCCTGTTGGGGAGAGTGTTCTGTGGTGCCTGTGGAGGGAGAATGTTCTGTCTGTGGAGCCTGTGGGGAGAGTGTTCTGTGGAGCCTGTGAGGAGAGTGTTCTGTGGTGCCTGTGGAATATAATGAGCTTTAAAGTTCCTGTTAAAGTATTCCTTGAGAAAATGGAGAAATGCCTGCTTCTCTGTCACAAACTCATTTAAAGATTTTTGTCTTCCTTAATAATTACAGTGAATGCCACAGACAAATTCATCTTTTCTCATTTATAAACAGATGCTCACAAACTCTGAATGACTTAATAAAAGGTGAAAAATTGAGTCCCGGGATGTAGCTCATTTGGTAGAGAGCTTCAGCCCCAGGCTCCATCCCCAGCACTTCCTAAGCCAACGTGGTGTTTGAAGTGCCCCCACTCAGGAAGCAGAGGCAGGAGAACCACAAAAATCATCAAGATGAAAGCCTGTCTCAGATGTTTCTAAGATTTAAGGAATGAATAAAAACTCTTTTCCATGCAGATATACAAGGAAGAAATAATAACTTTATTAATTTAAATGAAACAAGTTTTAAACTTTTATGTCAGTAACAAATGTCAAATTTTATTTCAAAATGAGAATGAGTACAGTTTAATTCATACTGTATTTACTTAATTATAAAGCATCAGAAATCCAGTAAGACGATTTAAGCAGAACGTTTTATTTTGCAGGTATTCAGGAGCAGCATGCGGCCTGGCTTTCGTCTTCATATACCCTTCTCTCATCTACATAATCTCCCTGTACCAAGAGGAGCGTCTGACATGGCCTAAGTTGGTGTTTCACGTTATCATCATCATTTTGGGCCTAGCAAACCTGATTGCTCAGTTTTTCATGTGAAAACTGTCTTCTCAAGATTTCTCATGGTATTCTGAACCTTGGCAACGGTTCTGCATAAAAGAACTTGAAAATGCTGTCATTGCTATAATTCTAAGTGTTCTTCTAAGATAATTGGAAGCAAGGGAAATGATGGTCTCTCATAAGTATTTTTGTACTCAGGCTGGGTGGGAATACGTGCTAAGGCTGATTTTTCTCCGTGACCTTCATTCCCATGTATCCAAGTAGAAATGTGGGGGAAAGATACAGATGTTTCTGTTGATAAGTTAGGTGGGTTTGTTTCACTCACGGCAAGGAATCTCAGGGGACTTGGGTCAGGGCATGTTGCCAGACCCTGTGTGTGCTTCTGTGTGTGTTCTTCCACCTTCTTACTTGCTGGGCCATCTCTACAGTTTGCCCATACCTCTGCTGTCTCCAATAGTAAAACAAATACCTCATTTTAAAAGAAGTTTCCATGGCATCATTATTAATGGGATGAATTCCTAACTCAATACTTAATCTGAAGAACTAAAACCTTTAAATAGTGTTAGTCCATCAAAACCTGTGTGTCACATAGGGCCAGTGGGATGGTTGGTGTGTCAGGGAGCATTTAGGTGACAGGGTAAGAGGACCTGGAGGGTAAGGTCATCCTCAGTTTCACAGCCAGTTTGTCTCTTGGGGGGATGAGTTGTTTGTTTATTTTAGTTTTTTTCCCCCTTGGGAAAGGCTTTCTTTATGTATCCCTGGCTGTCCTGAAACTCCATCTGGGGACCAAGCTGGTTATGGCCAGTTTGAAACCACCCTGGCTATATAAAGCTTTGTCTCAAGACACTAAAAGAAAAGAGAGAGAAAACCAAAAGAAATTGTCAGATACACTTCTGCAGAGTCTGTTGCTATCTGACTCTTAATTCTAATCCAGTCCCAGAGACTGAAGGTTGCAATTCCAAAGCCAGATCTCACACCTGAACAAAAGCAATTGTCCTTTCGTCTCACCCTTGAGAACTACACAGACTGTCGTGGAGCCCAGTGGAGGAAGCACACATGGAGGTGGGTATATGCGGCTCTTCAGAAGAGAGAGAAATAGTTAGGAAGGGTAGGACTGTCCAGTGTACCCCGAGTCAGCCTGGTTCAGGTGTGACCTCCAGGAGCCCACACCATCTACCTGCTCCTGTAACAGGAAGGGAACAGTTAGGTCTTGCAAGAAAAGCTTCTGAAAAGAAGATGGAGAAATCCAGATTCTTAGAGTTACCACTCTTGCCATCTTCATTCTGAACAAAAAGCTGAAGCAGAATCCAGATCTGTCTGTCTCCCCACAACTACAGGCATTTAGATGTCTCTAATTTTGATTACATTGTTTAAAATGTATCATGTTCCACCTCCCAGACACTGTCATGTTCTTCAAAAACAACAGGTAGAATGTTTTTCCTAAATGTAGTAAGCAGCCCCAGATTTAAGACCAGCTTCCATTTCTTTTAGCATAGCTTTACATCCTACTAGAGCATGGTCTATGTTCATAAGGATCTGTAATTTCTAATACTTGATAAAGTCTTATTATGAAAACTGTCAAGCAAATACACAAATAGAATAATACAGAAAACACCCAGTACACCAATCCCTAGGTTTAATAATTACAGGGTTAGCTGAATTTTCTTCACCTGCTTTCTCCCACTTTTTCTTTTCTACTGACATATTTTAAAAACTTGTCTCAGACATTAGGTCACTTCATTTCTACAAACCTTAATATTCAGCTAATAGCCCAACCTCTGAACCTAGTTACATTTATCATGGAACTAGTCTCAAAGGCTCTGGCTTACACAGGCGGCCGTAGATGTTGGCTTGCAAGGGACCATGCTTGAGAAACTCTGGAACTTCATGACTGCAAAGTCCTTCTGTTAAGGGACATTTGAGTCAGAGCTGGGTGTTGTAAGAGATGTCCCTGACTTAATCCCACTATGTTCTTGGTAGTTTCTTTTGTCTTTGAGAACTTTAGACAATTTTCACTCCTTTTTTTTCCCCAAAGATGTTCTTGGATGTGTTAACACTTTAAGCTTTAACAATCAAGGATAATTGGATGCGTTTTTGCTCATTTCATAGACAAAAGATAAAAGAAATACAGCAAAGGATGCTACCCTCCAGATGAAAAAGTAGTACAGATTTATGCTTTTGTTTTCTTAAGAACACTTAACGCTTTAGACAACCTCCTGATGTCCTGTTAGACAAGCCAATGACTTTGTCCCCTTACGATTTTGATTTTGTTTTTCTCCATGAGACTCCCTTGGCCTGTCACTTGCTTAGTCAGAGAACTCTGCGTGAGTGTGTGTGTCCCGGCTCGTGTGAGAACGGTGAGGTAAGAACCCACATGCAGCCATCTTCCCCTTTGTCTCTCTGCTCTCATCTCTGAACTTTCTAATTAAGCCACTCTGCCCTTCTCACTCTGCCTGGGCTGGCCTTCTGACTGGGCCTCTTTAACACACACCTGAGGACTCTAAAATCTAAAATGAGCTGTTTAGTGTGCTCTTCCTTAGAAATCCTGTAGATGAACTTGAGCTGTGCTAATATTAAAGCTAGAAAGGGGAAATAGAGGTAAGTTGTATACCTGTGGACGTGGACAATTGTGCCAAGCCATTGGCATCGGCGCACCCCAAAGATGTGTTTGGAATGAGGAATACCTAATTATACCCCTTGGAAGAGGCTATCTTAAAGGGAAATGCTTCGTTTACATTAAACATGTTTTAGAAATGCTGTTCCACTACTCACTGTAGCTGTGGGCTCCTTCTCTGCTTCTACTTGAAACCTACCAAGGAAATGTTTGATGTGTGTTTTTAATTATCAGTCCCTTAAGTGTTCTGTTTAAATAATTGAATAGCCGGCAATGTACGTGACTTTGGAGGAGCTAAAGGCATGTAAGACAGTATGCATGCCCTAGAGGAGCTTTTTTTTCCTTTAAACTAATGAAGAAAGAGTGTGCTCACTCGGCAGTGCCAGTGCACCAAGCAGTTAACTGAGCACTGTGAGAGCAGCATCGAACCCTTGGGGGCAGGGCCATGGCAGAGGAGGAGGGGCTGCTCAGAAGCAGAAGACCCATTTTCACTTCCCTGCTATTCTCCTGGATTGCACCCTGTGCTCACCAGCTAGTAGAGATGTGTTACATATATTTGCTTCTCTGGAATTTGCAGATGTCCTCTAAAATGTATTTTGTGACATTTAGTTGCTTCTTTGTGCTGTTATTCTTTCTTCTCTATTAACCCTGGAGTATTTATTTCCTATGTCTCTTGGACAGAAAGCATAATTGCTTAATGAGGGATGTAATTAGTAATACAGTGGGTGCTACAGACATTTATAAAGTTTCCAAAATTTTAATTTCTTTAAATATTATGAATATTCAAAATGTCAAATGTTTACATTCATTGATGTAATAGTGTTTTTGTTTCATTTTGTTTCTGTTACTGTGATAAAATACTATGACCGAAAGCAAGAGTTTATTTTGGCTTACAGTTCCAAAGAGGGAGTCCATAATGCACAGGAAGGCATGGGAGCAGTACCAAAGCAGGACTGGCAGATCACATTTCATCTGCCCATAGGAGAACAAGAGTGTGAGTGTCCAGCCTGGTAAGTCTGTAAACTCACATCCCACCCCCAGCACTTCCTCCAGTAGCACTTCATTTCCTGAGAGCTCCATAACCTCCCCAAACAATGGTTCCCCAATCCAGCTGTGGCCCAAGTGTCCCAACACATGGTCGCATGAGGAATTTCTCACCAAAACCCCCACAGTTGATAGCCGCGGGGAGTATTACCCTGCATGTTTCTTTTACATGGTGTTGATGGGTTGTTACATTTTAGAAGTTGGTGGTGATTTGAATTTTGTGTTGAACTCAACTTCATACCAACTTGAATGCCCCAAAACAAATCCTAGTCTAGTGGGTGTGTAACAATAGCATGCTACCAGTCTGATACAAAGTGAAGTGAATCCCTCACCACACACACTGAGCCAGCTGGCCCCACTTGCAGTCTGGCAGTCACTCTGATGGGAGCCTCAGAATCCAAACAGTATCCTCTGATATGTTATTTGTCTTTTTATAGAAAAAAAATCAGAATTATTTTGAAGGAAAATATCTCTGGGATTTTGTTAGTGGAATTTGGCTAGGAAATACTATTGCTTCCTAACACTGGCGCTGACAGAAGCAGCTGGGTTCCATCCTTTGCAGGGCTGAATTTCTCAAGTGACTGTGCCCATGTCTCCTGTCAGGCTATAAGGGGCCTTCTTGAATGTCCTGATCTTCTGGAAAGAAGATCATGTTAACAGGACCTAGGGGAGCACCTCTGTAAGCCCATCTGGGGGAGCACATCTGTAAGCCCGTCTGGGGGAGCACATCTGTAAGCCCGTCTGCTCTCTCCCTTCAAGAACGTTTTTTCATGACTGTGGCACTTTAGGTAAATGTTGCCCAGTTTCTGGCCAAAAGCCCTGGAAAAGTCATAACTTTCGGAATCTTTAACGTTAATAAAGCACACTAATCTTCTGGCTTCTTTAAGTAAAATTACTTTTTTTCCAAATATTAATTTTTTTCTTGATTTCCCAACTGTTCTGAAAAGGTAAAATAAGAGTTTTAAACGTTTAAAATGGTGTAGTGTTTATCACAGACTGTGCCTTATGGTCCCAGCACAGGGATGAGCTGCACCGCTCTGATACCCCACCCCCAGTCCCCAAGTCCTGTAATATTTAGTCATAGCAGGCCTCAGGATACCTTTGTTTGATTAACTAGTCAGGATTCCACTTAAATAGAAAGTAATACTAAATGTTATTCTATTATCTAGGGTTTTCTTACATACTCCTCCCCCAAAATAATGTGGGGGCTAGAGGTCTAGCTTAGTGGTACAGCATTTGCCTCAAAAGTATGAGATCCCAGGTGTAATCCCCAGTATTCCCCAGGGGGGAGGAAAGGGATCAGTCAGGTTCCAGATTGATCACTCAGTACATAAGTACTTACTGTTAAGCGCTTGGCTGCTGTGGTGAACAGGCAAGTGTGACCCCAGCAGTGAGCATCCTTTATCTACCCTTCTGACTCGGCAACTGGGTCCCCTTCCTTCGGTGCCACTGAAGTTCCAGGCTCCTGCCCGCTTGGTGCTCTGTCTCTGATGAGCAGCACTTATGGCAGGTGATCTGAAGGGCTGAGTGTGGCAGCCAGATGTGCTAAGCAGGATTTCTGGAGGGAGTTGTGGCTTTCAGTGTAAAACTCCCACATCCCAGGTTAATTGTGGCACTTAATTATTTGTACAAAACCAGAAGGTCCCACAGAAGAACAGATACAGGATAGGCTTCCAGGTGAGTCACTACATCGTTGCTTTATTATTTATATAACAACTTTTTTCTAAGAGGTGTCTAAGATAAATATGGTAAAGAAGATTCGTGGGAATATATGTACACATACCTTCTAATAGATATCTTTTAAGATAAATACCTTTGAATACATTGTTATTGAGACTCTTGCTGGCTCTCCTGGCTTTGAATGCACTGTATAGCCAATGATGACCCTGAGCCTTGTAATCTCTTTCCTCCACCTCCCAAAGCCAGGAGCACAGGGAGGGCCCCACCAGGCCCCGCTGAGGACTCTTGGTTACAAGGACAGGTCCAGGTTTTATGCTGGCTGTCATCTACACAGTTTGGAGTTACACCTTTAAGGAAAAAGAGAATCTGGAGCCTCAGATAGGAAGCGGTGCATACAGATGAGGAGCCCTGACTCAGCTGTCTTAGTTTTAGGATTAGATCATACGCAGGCCATTTGGACAGCCAGGAAATAGAAGACACTGGAGGAAGAGTAATGGGCACCGTGCCTGAGTTTCTCTGTGACCTGGAGAGCTACGTTTACCAAACCTGAGCTTTTACTTCTGAAAGGGCCAGATTAGGTGCCAATCTAGTAACAGTTAATTTGGGATCCAAATAGGGTATTTTTCTTTTTCAGGTTGGAGCGTTTGTGCCTGGGAATAAGTCTTACAAGCTATTACTTTTTTTTTTTAAACTGTTTGTTTTGTTGTATTATTTTGAGACAGAGTTTGATTGTGTACCCGCCTGGCCTCAAATTTGTGGCACTCCTTCTGCCTGTCTCCAGAGGGCTGGGATTGCAGGCCTGTGCCACCACACCTAAGTTTGGTTTTGTTTTTTAATCTTTACAGAGATAATAAATACCCTGTTCAAAAAAAAACACTTATTTGCAAACAGTGGCTCCCCTTTATCTGAGGGATGAGAAACTTACAGAGGCACTTGGTGTAGGAAAACAACTTCTAAGACAACATTTAAGTAGGTAACATTTATCTATGTTCTGTCTACACCAGTAAAGAATATTTCTATTAAAGATACACTTTAAAGGACTACCTGCTTTAGAAAATAAGTAGGAACTGTATGTCTTTCTTTGAAGAGAGGAAACTAAAATTTAATTCAAATAAATAATCTTACTCATCAATTCCATATGTGCTCAGAGCCCAGGCCAGTGCCAGAGACATGGACCGATGGTCCTCACTTTGGAAACGAAAGACTGTATCACTTTTCCCAGTGCTACTAGAACTTAGCTTAGCCTGAGACTGAGTGCCTCTCCTTGTGAAATCCTTCCTGCCACAGTGGAAAAGTGGGCATGAGCTTTGAAACAGAGAACTACAAATTAGAAGACAGTTCAGGAACAAACAAATGGCCACAGCATGACCCAGATAAACCTGAGAAGCAACTCAGTGACCGCAGCCAGGTGTACAAAGCACAACCATCGTGTGCTTCTCTTCAGATGACCTCTCAGGAATGGCAAGTGCATCAAACCAGGCAATGGAGAGCAGTTGTTTCTAGGGTGGGCATGGAGCAAAGATTACCCATAAATATCATGGGAGATTCCCTAGAGATGCAGGACCATGGGCTGTAGTATCAGTTACACACTGGACTTTTAACTGAGGCCTGAGAGCTGGGATGGGGCACACTCATCTCTCTCTGCTTTAATTGGGGAAATGAGAAACCTAAGGGCCAAGAGGAATACTGTGTTGCTATTTAAAATAACTTCACAAGTGTGTAGCAAATGCCAATATATATAATGTAAGGTCAAAACTAACTGTGTGAAGTTTGAAGCCTGTGTTTAGACATATGTGTGGGAAGAGAGCGAGGAGCTTAACAAATATGAACACTGGTTACCTCTGGCTGTACCTTTTACTGGCTCGTTTACTCATGTCTTCTAGAATGTTGAAATGTGTTGTTTTGTGAGGTAAATGTAATAAATGCTTTTTCTTTTTAAAAAAATTAGCTTGTTATCACTTAAAACAATAGATGTGTGGCTTTCATATATATATGTGTGTGTAGCAAAAACTCTGCCAGACATGGTAATGCATGCCTTTGATCCTAGAATCTCTGAGTTTGAGGCCAACCTGATCTTCGCATCAAGTTCTAGGCCAACCAAGGCTTCACAGTGAGACGTCATCCCAGAACAAATTCTGGGCCGGTGAGATGGCTCCAGGAGTGAAGATGCTTGCCACTAATCCCGTAAACCTAAGTTTGATCTCTGGGACCCACCATGGTGGAAGGAAAGCACTGACACTTGAAAATTGTTCTCTGAACTCCACCTATATGCTGCTGTGCCTGTGCTTGAGTGTATAAAGGCACACACACACATACACACACATAAGAAAATTCCATAATTGTGCTTTCAGTGGCTTTTGTTGGGTGAAGGGTTTTTTTGTGTTTTGTTTTTTGAAGAAGAGGTGGGAAGGTCTCACTACATAACCAGTTGCCTACGAAGTCAGTGGTTATTGGTTAATAAAAATGATAACAATAAGTTATTCATACCTGTAATCGCACCATTTGGAAGACCGAGGAAGGAGAATTGCTATAGAAGGAAACGCTGGCTCAAAACAATACTAAGAGTGGCCATCTAATTCCATACCCACCTTTAATATAAATTGGACATTTAGCACGTTTCTGGCTTTTTCGTCCAGGCTGCATTACAGAACACTTTTAGACAGATCTGTGGACTGCAGGGTAGAAGGACCAACCTAGAGAATAATATCTAAATTCTTTAGCTTGCTATCCAAGTCCTGCTTTTATGACAGTTTTTATGCCCACCCAGCTTCACTCCAGCTTTGCTCCTTCACTTCTTTTGCTTTTCTGGGTATGCTCTTGGCCTGGGATGGCCTTTTCCTCTGTGTCTTTCACGGTGCTGCTTATAAATCCTCTTCTTAACTGACTCTCAGATACTCTTAAGAGTATTGCCTTTCCTGTGTTCTCCAGCACTTGATCCAGGCATTTGTCTCCCCAGGATACAACTCCTTATACAATGGGCTTATAATGGTCTCAAGTGAGTGAGCCCTTGTCCTCCAGGGCCTAAAGGGTAGCTAGGGGCAGGTGTGTAATATTACAGAAGTGAGTGAGTATGCTGAGGTTCATCCACTTATGGAAGGTCATCTGCTAAAAGTCTACTAAGAAGGGCTGGAGATACCTCACCTGCTAT